CACAGCAGTTTGCAAGGGTGTGCAAGCTTTCACTTCACAGTTGAAGCACACAGATGTCTTCTGGCCCACAAAACCGAAACGCTTAATGTATGATGCTTTAAATCTTATCTTCTGTACACAGAGGCTGCATGATGGGAAGTGACTGCCTAGATGTGGATGGTGGAAATCTGATTTGGACACCGTGTAAAAATAAGGAAGTGTGCATTTGCACAAACCAAACAGCGTGCCGTTGAAAACATCATTTCTGCGGCGACATCCTGTTTTTAAACGCAATCAAATCAATTTCTAGGTGGGAGAGAAACCTCAGCGGTCACACCCACCGAAAGTGAGGGCTCAGTTCTGAGACTAGAGTAATTAACAGCAGCTAATACCCAGTAGTTATATACTAACATAATATTCTCACCACAGTAAACCTCACATAAGTCATATTAGTTAGGACCGTACATTTAATATGACATATGCTAAGTAGGGATTTGATCAAATTATATAGAATATAAAGCCTTGAATGGGACTTGGGCGATTATAATAACAATAATAATAATAAATCTTGCATTAGATATAGCGCTTTTCACCTCTTCTAGACGTCTCAAAGCGCTCCACAGAATATACTGTAAAGTGAATTGATTGTATATTTGTATTATATTATATTATGTTGTATTATAGGGCTATATTCTCTAGAGTACAGAACAATTAGGGGAGATCTTATTGAAACATATAAGATTCTTAAAGGGCTGGTAAAGTAGACACTGAGGGTCTGTTTCCCCTGGAAGGAGAATCAGGGGTCACAATCTTAAAATTAAGGGTCAGCCTTTTAGAACAGAGTTGAGGAAACATTTCTTCACTCAGAGGGTAGTGAATTTATGGAATTCACTCCCCAGAAGGCTGTAGCTGCTCAGACCTTGAACATCCTCAAGGCTGAGACTGATAGATTTTTAAAAAACAGAGGGATTAGGGGATATGGGGATAGGGCAGGTAATTAGAGTTATGTCTGAAGATCAGGCATGATCTTATCGAATGGTGGGGCAGGGCTCGAGGGGCCGAATGGCCTACTCCTGCTCCTAATTCTTATGTTCTTATTTATGTTCTATATATTATATTATGTATTGTATTATACGATTTATAGAGATATATACATATTTATTTATGTATAAATTATATTTATACAGATCAGACTTATGAGAGTTTTACTGTATATCAAGAAAACAGGCAACAGCATACCAGTATATACATAACCACATGAATGAGATAGAAAGATGGGAATCTGAGAATGGGAAAGGCTGTAGATTGCAATCACATATAATAATAATAATAATAATAATAATCCTTGCATTTGATATAGCGCTTTTCACGTCGGGAGGACGTCCCAAAGCGCTTCACAGAATATACTGTAAAGTGAATTGACTGTATATTTGTGGGCGAACGCGGCAGCCAATTGCGCACAGCAATGTCCCACAAACAGTCGTATATTATATATTAAAAGCCAAAGTTTTGTATCGTCTTAGCCACACCAGGAACTGAACCTGTGAGCGTACAGTCTGCAAGCTCCAACTCTGTACCACACAGTGAGGCCAGAAGGAATGGATGACTGAGCTAAACAACAACAACTGCTTGCAGTAAGTAGGTGCATTAAGCTGTTAGTCGATTGGCGGATCAATCCACGACTGTTTGTGGGATACTGCGGTGCGCAATTGGCTCTCAAAATGTTTCGCAGGATATACTGTAAAGCGAATTGGCTGTGTATTTTGTGGGCAAAATGCGGCAGCCAATTACGCATAGCAATGTCCCACAAACAGGTGTGGATTTTTATTGGATTATTACACCCAGAAAGTGATCCGCCAGTCAAATAACAACAGGTTCCTACTTATTGCTAGGTAAACAGGCGTGTGGCGTAAGGAAACTTGCTTAAGGTTTTGCTCTGCCAGGGAATCGAACCCGGGTCCACTCGTTTGCGAGGCGAGAGCGCTAACCACTACTCTAAGGGCTTCCACAAGTGAAGAACCCCCAGAGGAAGAAGCAAGGGCTGGAGAAGGCAAGAAAGATTAGAATAGGAGGGAGGGAGACTAGAGGTGAGAAATCGATTGCCTACCGAATGTGAAGCTTTGTCCTGTACTCTCTGCTACTCTGCCCGTCGAAGGTAAAAGCAGAGAAAATCATCTTGGATGAGGGAGTTGTATTCAAGTCTTGAACAGCGAAAGAGCAAGAGAAAGAGAGAGAAAAAGCAGAGCTTCTCAGAAGCAGCTTTACCAATGATCCATGTTAGTCTCCCTACAGCTGGAAAAAGATGAGAGAAAATGACTCATAAAATAAAACAAAGAGTGTTTCTTTGAAATTGTAAATTACCCTCTGGGCCCCAAATAATCTACAGAAAACACACAGCAGTTGACGACTGGACCAGATCCCAGATACTGGTACCTTTTTTTACTTGTTACGTCAGAAGGAAATGGAACAGTTTGCTTTTAGATCAAACCTCTCCTCTCACAAAGGAAACACAGGAAACGTTGAGGAGGGAGATAGAAGAGAGAACTTGGGTCAGAATGTTGTCGGTTCAAGCTCCACTTCGAAACTTTGAATTCACAATCTGGGCTGACACTCCAATGCAGTGCTGGGGGTCTATTGCATTGTCGGAGGTGCCATTCTTAACGTTAAACTGAGGTCCCAGGCACTGTTAAACAGGCACTGTTCATATGGATTAACATCTGGCACTATTCATGGCATGATTTGAAAAGGAAAGGGTGTTTCTCCCAGGACCCTAGAAGCAATCCCCCACTCCATGGCTGTTTGTCAGACATCGCTGTGTGCAAACTGGCTGCTGGGTTTCGCCCGCAGAATACATAGTTAGGCCACTTTACAGTATATTCTGTGAAGCGCTTTCCACCCAGGGTGTGAAGGCTCTATAGAAATGTGAATAGTATTGCATTGTATTTACTTCCTTATTGCTGCATAAACCTTCACAATCTCCCAGTTGGGTCAGTCAGTGGATTGCAAGTGTGCAGTTAGGATATGTTTTGCTAAGAATTAGAGCCATAAAATTGCTCGTGTGTTGAGATTCATTCAATTACAATGCGCAGAGGAAAGGACAAATTTATATACATGAGCAATACTCTGGATTAGGTATTAATGGAATGGAATCATTTACAGAGGTCCTGAAATGAATTTATTGAGAGAATTTTCAGTCATTGACAGAAGGCAAAATGAGTCCATCCTGGAGACAGAATAAAATGTTGTGATAATCCTTGCATTCGCTAAGGGGCCTTTCATGTCGGGAGGATGTCTCAAAAGGCTTAACGGGATTTACTGTCGAGTGTAGTGACTGTGTATTTTGTAAGCTACGCCTCGGCCACTTTGCAGACAGCGACGTCTCACAAACAGCCGCGAAGCGGATGACCAGTTTCTAATTAAATTACCCTGCCATCGCTCAAATACCCCATCCGTGTCAGCAAATTACACTCGTACAGGCGCCTCTCATGTCGGCAAGACGTCTCAAGGCGCAGTCAAAGCTCACAAGTGATAAATCGCCATTGGAGATTGTGTGTGTTTGCGTGTGCGTGTGTGTGGGGGAAGCAAAAATACAGCAACAACAACGACAGCAACAGATTACATTTTATATAGAGCCTTTCACGTCGGGAGGGGACTTCCCCAAGACGCTGATAGGGAAGTAGAACTTTGGAATAAAGAGCTGCCACTTCATTTTGTTTTTAAAACACAGACGCAGAACCCACCCTCCCCTTTACTTCTCTTTCCTCACCCCACCTCCTCTCCTCTCGCCCTCCCTCCCTCTCTCGTTGCAAGTGAATCCGAACCCAGCGCTATGGGACGTCCTCCCGACGTGAAAGGCGCTCTACATGTAATTTTGTTGTTGTTGTGTAGAACTGGGCTCCAGGCTGAAATCAGTGCTTTCCAGGCAGGAAGAAGGAGAGGAAGCAGGAATAGAGTAGGAGGAGATGGATGAAGTACGGGAAAGGGAGTGGTGAGAGAGTGAGTGAAGTGAGGCTGGTTTTGTGTGTCAAATAAGTCACAACTCCCAATGGATCTGTGGTTCACTGAGGGCTGTGTTCTGCTCAGATCTCTGGTGGACATCAAGAGAGAGAGTGTGAGAGGAGGCCACCAGGATCCCTGCACTGACTGACTGCAAACACACACAGACAGAGACACACAGACAGATAGAGACACACACACAGACAGAGACACACACAGACAAATAGACAGACACACACACACATAGATAGACAGACACACACACAGACACACACACACACAGATAGACAGACACACACACAGACACACACACAGATAGACAGACACACACACAGATAGACAGACACACACACAGATAGACAGACACACACACAGATAGACAGACAGACACACACACAGATAGACAGACACACACACAGACACACACAGACAGAGACACACACACAGACACACACACACACAGATAGACAGACACACACACAGACAGAGACACAGACACACACACACAGATAGACAGACAGACACAGAGAGACACGCAGAGAGACACACACACAGACACACACACAGACACAGACACACAGACAGAAACAGACGCGACTCCGCCACAGCGAAGCGAAATGGGAAGAGGCACATTGCGCAATTCTGCAAACTGAGCTCTGCTGCTTCCGCAGTTGGGATTCCAGGAGAAGTTAAGGCTGATCCGGATTCGCTTGTGGCCTGAAACAGGGGGAGAGGGAGAGAGAGAGGGGGGGAGAAGGGAGGGGGAGAGAGAGAGAGGGGGAGAGGGGGAGAGAGGGGGAGGGGGAGAGAAGGGAGGGGAGAGAGAGAGGGGGAGGGGGAGAGAGGGAGGGGGAGAGGGAGAGAGGGGGAGGGGGAGAGAGGGGGAGGGGGAGAGAAGGGAGGGGGAGAGAGAGAGGGGGAGGGAGAGGGAGGGGAGGGGGGAGGGAGGGGGAGGGAGGGGAGGGGAGGGGGGGGGGGGGGAGGGGGGCTGTGGGGCTGTGGGGTGAGGAAAGAGCAGTGAAGGGGAAGTGGGGGATGTGAGTGAGTGACTGTGTCCTGAAAACAAAATGAAGTGGCGGCTGTTTATTACACTGTGTGTACTGTCGGTGCTCTTTTGCGCGTTGGTTTACAACAGCAGTAATCTGAAGGACTGGAACAGATACCAACCCGACACCGAGAGACCCAACTCCAGCGCAGGTAACTGTCTGTGGGTCTGTCTGTCTGTCTGTCTGTGTCTGTCTGTGTCTGTCTCGCCCTCTCACTGTTTCGCTGTCTATCTCTCTTTCTCTCTCTCCCTCTCTCTCTCTCCCTGTCTCTCTCTCTCCCTGTCTCTCTCCCTGTCTCTCCCCCTGTTTCCCTGTCTCTCTCTCCCTGTCTCTCTCTGTCTCTCTCCCCCTTTCTCTCTCTCTCTCCCCCTGTCGCTCTCTCTCTCTCTCCTCCTGCTCTCTCTCTCTCTCTCCCCCTGTCTCTCTCTCTCCCTGTCTCTCTCTCTCCCTGTCTCTCTCTCTCTCTCTCCTCCTGCTCTCTCTCTCTCTCTCCCCCTGTCTCTCTCCCCCTGTCTCTCTCTCCCTGTCTCTCTCTCTCTCTCTCCCCCTGTCTCTCTCTCCCCTTGTCTCTCTCTCTCTCCGTCTCTCTCTCCCTGTCTCTCCCTCTCCCTGTCCCTCTCTCTCCCTGTCTCTCTCTCTCCGTCTCTCTCTCCCTGTCTCTCTCTCTCTCCCCCTGTCTCTCTCTCTCTCCCCCTGTCTCTCTCTCCCTGTCTCTCTCTCTCCCCCTGTCTCTCTCTCCCTGTCTCTCTCTCTCTCCCCCTGTCTCTCTCTCCCTGTCTCTCTCTCTCTCCCCCTGTGTCTCTCTCTCTCCCTGTCTCTCTCTCTCTCTCCCCCTGTCTCTCTCTCCCTGTCTCTCTCTCTCTCTCCCCCTGTCTCTCTCCCCCTGTCTCTCTCTCTCCCCCTGTCTCTCTCTCCCTGTTTGCTTGGCTCTGGGTGTGTGGGAGTATCTCTTGTCCTTTTCCTTTTAGGTTTCTGTTGGCTGAAAATGGCTGCACTGTATTCCTATGTTCATTTTTGTTGTTATTGTGTGTATGTGTATATATATATATCCGATTTAGATATACATAAATATTATAATATTTATATTCCTCTATTGTGTTGTTTTATGAGCAAAATCCACAGAGAGGTGGTTATTTGAGTGAAAGAGAAAGCCTTAAGACTTTTTATTTATAGTCATTATTGAGCTGAAGAGAGATCTTTGCAGATTGCAAAGAAGGGGGTGGGGGGTGGAGAGAGAAGGTGGGGGAGGGGGGAGGAAGGATTATCAACCTCTCCCTGTGAAACCACACTTTAAGAAAGGAGTTGCGTAAGATGGAGGTGGAAAATATCTTCGCAAAGGTTATTTCTTCTAGGTCGTCGGGTTAGAATGAGATTGCTTGGATCGCGTTTCCTCTCTCGTGCCTTTGTCCCCCTCACTTTCATTCGTGTCTTTGTTTTGTCGTTGCTTGGATTATTTACTAATAGCAATGAATAATAATAATAATAATAATAAACTTTGCGTTTGATACAGCACCCGATCACTTCGTCGAGACGTCTCAAAGCGCTTCGCGGGATATACTGTCGAGCGGATTGACTGCGTATTTTGTGGGCGAACCCGGCTGGCACACAGCAGCGTCCCCACAAACAGTCATACATTGAGTGAACAAATTATTATTTATTTTGAAGGGATTATTACCCCCGAAAAACGATCCACCAATTGACTTAACAACCGGGTTCCGACTTACCGCCAGGTAAACAGAGGCGTGTGGAGTAAGGAAACCACCTCCATTTCTACCTTTTTCACCCCCTTTATTATTTTGTTTGCTGTGGATACCTCTTTCTCCCAACCCCCAACCCATAAGTATGATTTCCCCCTTCGCCTGTATTATGTACCCACCCCGTGATTTCATCACACCCCCCACCCTCACACACATGAAATTCTTCTACAGACTACGCAATCATTGAATTCTACGATATATGTGGTGAAGTTTTGAGACATCTCGACAATGTGATAAGGCCCAATGCAAAGATAATAATAAACGTTGCACGTGATACAGCGCCTCGTCACATCATTGAGACGTCTCAAAGTTCTTCACCGGATATACTGTAAAGTGAATTGACTGAATACATTCCAGCGCCTTGGGGCATCCTCCTGATGTGAAAGGCGCTATAGAAATGTAATCTTGTTGTTTATTGTGTAGATGTGACGTTTTAACTACTTTATTATATGCATATGCCTCGACCCAGTGCATCATCGGTAGCTGAGATTTTACTCGCAATGTTCTCGTTGTCTGGAACATACTTTTAAAGTGTACATTTTCTTCCCGCTTCCAAAAACCTCTTAAAACTCTATCTTGGATCCGTGCGTTTGATCAACGGTCTTAAATTCTCCTGCCTCTGCTCCCTGATCCTCAGTCGCCGTGAAGCGCTTGAGATGTTTTTACTTCGCGTAAGATACAATGACTTGTTGTTACAATAATCATAACAATCGGTGCCTTTGATACAAGTGTCTTTCATGTCAGGATGTATCACAAGGAGCTTGACTGGATTTACTATGAATACTGTGTATTGTGTTATTAATTCTACACCAAGTGTAGTGCCTGTGTATTCTGTAGGCGAATGTGGCAGCTGATTTGCGCACAGCAGTGTCGCAATTCCCGGTTGTATAGGGCTTTGCGAAGCTGTTGAGGTAAAGTTTAAAAAATTGTTAACGCGGACAGAGACCATTTGGCTCTTGTTGTCTGTGCCACAGGCCATAGCAAGGCCTGAATCTCTCTGCCAAAGCTTAATGGCGAGCTGCTGGCTCTTGTGTTAGGTACATAATCCCTCCAAAACCCAAAACAACAATAAATTTTCAATCTACGACTGTTTGTGGGACATTGCTGTGCGCAATTGGCTGCCGCGTTCGCCCATAAATATACAGTCAATTCACTTTACAGTGTGTTCTGTGAAGCGCTTTGGGACGTCCTCCCGACGTGAAAAGCGCTATATCAAATGCAAGGATTATTATTATAGAGAGTGCCTGGTGCCCGTTGAACTATACCCCAGCCTGAATCAGTGCCTCCAGGAAAAGAGGGTTTGATTTCCGCCCCAGTGCCAAGATCCATTAAATACTCATCCTGGGATGAGTCAGTATACCCCTAGGGTTCAGATTAGGGATTGTGCGTTTATATAACAACATTTTGGTCACTCAATCCACGACTGTTTGTGGGGACGCTGCTGTGCACAATTGGCTGCTGCGTTTCACCCAGAAAATAAATGGCCAATTAGCTTTACAATATATTCTGCGATGAACGTTGAGAGGTGTCTCAACAACGTAATAAGGTGCCTTAAAGCATGATCAAGTGCAAGGATTATTAAGATTACTATAATTCCAAACTAACACTTAGCCTTGGTGAGTGTTTTTATGGTAGGTGACGGTTTTCAGGTGATGCCTTACAAAGTGAAGCCAGTCAGATGTTAAAGATCCCGTGAGACTATTGGGAGTTTTTGTTTTTCCTGATTTTCTGGTTGATCAAATCCTCCTGATAAATGAATCATTCACTACAAGGCTGTTTCTGGGAATTGTCATCTAACAATTGGCTCCCACCTTTGACCAGAAATGCGACAGTCACTACACTTTACAGTATTAGTGTAAGTGAAGTACTTTGACAACAGTCACTATATTAATGTAATTATCCTACTTAATCTCTGTGAGATGTATAACAGACAAAATGGTGAGTCATTGTGTGGGTGGCTAATTCAATTCCTTATAGAGCCAGTTGATAATTTTTTTTCTGCTTCCTCTTTCTGTTGACCTTTTCGGGTCGACCAGCAAGCTGAATTTTCTTGATGGAATATTTCCTGGTTTACGCCACAAATCGAAGCGTATTCCATCAAGAAAGAAAATCTGCAAACACACTATTGTTTGAACACAGATTTAGCGAAACTGGTCTGAATGTTCGGGGGGTCACTTCTTGTTGCCCTATAGACCACTTCCTTGCCTCTTACTCAATCTCTCTCTCTCTCTCTCGCGTACACACATACGTACACGTACACTTAAACAAACTCATGCACACGCAAACATACACACACACGATTACACAAACACATGCATACACACACACGACATTGGTCTGCTCTGTTTAATTATTAAGTGATGGCTTGCTTGCTTCATTTGCAGTGTTTGCGGCCACACGCCATTAATCTTTGGGGAGGGGGGGAAAGGAGAAAAAAGCTCCACTTGCTACAGAGAATTTGGCAGAGATTCAATCTGATTAACGGAAACCAGAGATTGAATTGGTTTGTTTTCAAAGAACAACATCCATACTTTTGTTTCCTCAATCTGCGTTGGTTCTGCGTCGTGTCAACTTGACCCGACAATAAAGCTCCAGCGAATTGGAGGGTTTTCAGAACAGATGTTTAAAGGATGGCGACAGAGAGAATTAAAGGGATTGACTCCACACACATGTTGGCGGTAATCGTTTTCCGCAAACCGTTGATGTGCGCTCCGAGGCCCTCACTGGCCTGCGTGAAGGGTGCTATAACAATGCAAGTTGTTATTGCTCAAGCAGTCCCTTTTTTGTGGGGTGGGAGGAGAATTAGATAGATACTTGAAGAGGAGACATATAAGAAGGTCCAGGAGGGAGAAAACAGAAGAGCGGGATTATGTGAACTAACTGTGCTTAGAATTTCAGAATCAAGTCAACACCCTGTGGCGCTCTCGGTATCTTGTTCCAGAGCCAGAACACTTGGCTCCTGTTAACCCACCGAGCCAAAGCCCTAATAAGCCTGTGGTATTCCGAGGCGCTACCAATGACAGAGTAGCCAGCTTGGCTCGGGGTGGGATGGTGGTTGGGTGGAGGGGGGCAGCAGTGGGGAGGGCAGGCCAACCACTGTAGACAGGGATTCTTTCCGCTTGGCTCCTGTTAACCCCTGCCAGCCAAAGCCCTAATAAGTAGAATGGTACCAGCTAGAAGCTCGCCAGGCGGTGGCTGCAATTGACAAGCTATGCGGTTTGGGCGAGTCAATCATTCCAGTGCTATCAAGCTTTTTTGAACCTCGTGGGCAGGGTGTTGTTTCCTTGGAGAGTGTGCATTGCATTCCAGATGCACAGAAATTAACGGCAATGGATGCCGCTAACAAGATTCCTGCTAGTTATCACTTTTTTTTCCCTCTCTCTCTCTCTCTCTCTCTCTCTTTCCCTCCCTTCCTCCCTGTCCAGTTTCATTAATCTCCCAGAGTTGGTGGAGCTCCAATGGATCTGCAAAGAGGAATGAATCAATGCATTTTGTGAGGATTTCAGGTAAAGAGAATTCTAGTACGCTATGTTTAGAAGTGGCTCGTGCATCTAAATGGTTCAGTGTTGTTTTGGGCTTTTTTTTGAGGGGGAGGGGTCAACTGGGGATGTGACACAGATGGAAAGCAACCGGCTAACGCCCCTCCCCCCCCAAAAACAAACTGATCAAATGAAACCACACACTGAAAATTGTCAGGCTGTTTTTGATGAAACTGTAGTAGTTGACATTAAATAAATGCAGTAAATGAAACCTATGTCTGGTCATAGCCCAGACCGGGTCAACTGAAGTTCTGCAGGATGTTCACAAAGTCAGGTTACCACCCACCCCCCCCCCCCCCCCAAACCCATGTTTTTTTACACACACACACAATCCCCTGAACAATAACAGAAACGTGTGGAAGATTGATGATCATTAGATTTAGAAGTACTTCATTGTATTTGGTACAAGTGTTTAACTGTATTCAGACGCTGTATTTAATGTGAGCGAGCGAGCACCATCATGATCTGTCGCCATGTTTGGCGCCACATTTTCCATAACAGGGATGGAGTGAGGGGGAAGTTACTGGTATCTGACTGACATTTGGTGCACTCGACTCATTTGCAACAGAAAATGAAAATTCATTGTAAGAAAGAAACACAAGGTGGATAACAGGGCTCTGTGAACATGTACATTTATATGGAGAGTGGGCTTTCACTCTTGTTAGGTAAGGGTATCAAGAGATATGGGGCAAGGGCAGGTGATTGGAGTTGAGTTACAGAGCAGCCATGATCTTGTAGAATGGCGGAACGGGCTCGTGGGGCTGAATGGCCTACTCCTGTTCCTATGTAACTATATCTCACTCAGTAACTCTCAAGTCTCTGACTCGGAAAGCTGTGGGTTCAAACCCCACGTAAGGAATTTGAGCTCACAAAGCGGTGCGTGATGGGTAGGCTGCGTTGTTCCTCAGATGATTTGGTGAACCCAAGGTCCCGTCACCCTTTTGAGGTGGAGATTAAAGATCCCATTGAAGGCACTACTTGAAAAGAGAATGGATTTTCTCCTGGTGTCCTGTTTCGATCTCCCTGCTTCTCAAATGTAATTTTGTGTTGTTGTTTGCAATCATTTTTTAAATAAAAATAACTACATGTAGATTTGCATTTAAATATAAAATAAATCAAATGTAACCTTTACGTTCTCGTCCCCCCCCCCCACACACATACACACCCACACACGCTCGCGCACACACACCCACAACCCCATAATATGTATTCTTGAACTTTCTGGTTGACAAGATGCTGACTTTGCCATGGTTCAAAGCAACGTGACAGAATCCAACATGACCACCAAGAATACAGAGATGCCCAAGTGCCCGGACACTCCACCAGAACTCGGTGAGAATGGTGTGGGGAGGGGTGCGGGGAGGGGGGGGGGGGAAACATTTAAGTTGGGGTGGGGGAGAGAACTGAAGTCACAGAGCAAGTACAGATTTTGGGCCGCCACGTTTCGCCCACAAAATATGCCATCGATTCACTTTTACGGTAACATACAGAATATAAGCGTCTCAATGTGATAAGGTACCAAATTAAATGCAAGGATAATTATTATTATAAACTGCACTCACTAGAGACAGAAAAAGCTTGTCTTTTTTGCCTCCGCATATTTCCCTCCACTGTTGCCAAATCACCTGTCGTTTTTCCCCAGAGATTCAAGAGCCAGGTCTTTGACCCATACAGACAGATGTTAAAAATCCCCACACACTGTTGTAAAAGGCACAGGGAGTTTCTCTCACTCGGGAGTCTGGGTCAGTGATGCTCCACATGGCTGCTTGTAGGAACATACCGTGGGCAAATTGGCTGCTGTGTTTACATTCACCGATGACATTGACCTGTAAAAAGCTTTGAAGCGTTTCGAGGTTACAGTCGCCTTATCAAATGTGAGGAACCATAGTACTAATCCTTGCACTTGATCTAGCACCTTATCATGTCGTTAAGAACATCTCAAAGCACTTCACAGAACATATTGTCAAGTGGATTGCCTGTGTATTTTATGGGCAAGATATCAATTAGTCAAGCTGTTGCTGTGTTGATGCGGGAGTGGACGGATCACTCAGCTCACTGTTTTTCCCATCGTTATTATTATTATTATTAGTCGGACCTCTGAGGATCGTGTTCGACGAGGAATTTTCCCTGGAGAAGATTGCTGAGTTGAACCCCTACGTGGAGTTTGGGGGACACCACAGACCGAAAGAGTGCAATGCCCTGCAACACATCGCCATCATCATCCCCTTCCGCAACCGGGACCATCATCTGACACACTGGCTGTACTACCTGCACCCCATACTGCGTCGACAGCAGGGAGACTATGGTATCTACATCATTGAGCAGGTGGGCAAGTGCATTGCACTCCATGCTGGCAACTTGCTGCAAATGGTTACACCCTCACCTCTGAGCCGAAGGACAGGGCTGAACTCAGACAGTGACCGTAACCAGTTTTTGCTCGTGAAAAATCAGCTACTTTTCCTATCTAAGAACATGAGAATGTGTTAGGTAAAAGAAGACCAAGGTCCATCCAATTCATCTTTCACCATCCTAGCAGTCGCTTGACATGTCATGTCCCAAACTATATAATGTATCCTGAGATATTATTTTCGAGCAGGAATCTGGCTACCTCCTCTACGCCACACCTCCTCCCTTTAACGCTCCTTCACCGCCCCCCACCCCCTCCAACCGCTCCTCCAACCCCCAAACACCTGGCCAAGAAAGCAAAGCACATAAACATATTATTATTTAATGTGTTCCTTGAATTCTATCCCTGAGAGACTTGTGGGGAGAGTTTGCACCTGGGTCTAGATTTACTCTTAATGATGGAGCGATTCAGTGCATCCAGAAATGGGCAAATTCCTAAATGCTGCCTTTGATTGCTGAAGCCCATTTTCTGTACGTTTTCTTTCAAAACCCACGTCAAAGAATTCAGCAATCTGCCAGATTCTGTCTGCCGTAAAATGCTACATAAATAGAGTCAATCTATCCGGACCGCTGCAAATTTCTCTCATAGGTTTTTACTGAAATCCTTAGTAGGACCAAGAGTTGAATAAACAGGCAAGGATGTGTACTCGTCCTAACAATAATAATAATAATATAACCTGCATTTGATACAGTGTCTTATCTCATCGATGAGATGTTTCAAAGCACTTCACAGAATATATTGTAAAGTGGAGTGACTGTATTTTGTGGGTGACATGTAGCAACGCGGCAGTTATTTCCTCCCTCTCTTCCCCCCCCGGCCCCCCCACACCCACCCCGGTGCTGAGTTAGGTTTTGTTTGGCGGAATGTGAGATTAGCTGCTCTCTCCCCAGGCGGGCAAGGACACCTTTAATCGCGCCAAGCTGTTGAACGTGGGCTTTGTGGAGGCTCTGAAGGATGTTCCTTACGACTGCTTCATATTCAGTGATGTGGACATCATCCCCCTGGATGACAGGAACCTGTACCGCTGCTCCAGTCAGCCTCGCCACTTGGCCTCAGCCATGGACAAGTTTAACTTCAGGTGAGGCAAACATATTCCTCTGTCCATCTCAAACCTTGAATCTCTCTCTTTCTCTCTCTGTGATTCTCACTCATTCACTCTTTCTCACGCTTTTTCTTTCATCTCTCTGGATTGTATGTAAGCGTCCTATCTCTTACTGGTCTTTGCTCACTCTCTCTTAGTGGCTATTTGCGGTTAACCGCTCCGAGACACTATCCTGCTTAATTGCAAGTTGTTGTAATTGGTGTGTGTGTGTGTGTGTGTGTGTGTTGCTTGCTCACTTGTACTCTCCATCACTTTCTCTCTCACTCCCTGTCTCTCTCATTCTTGCTCTATTTTTCTTTCTCACTCTCACGCTCGAGCTCGCTAGCTCTCTCTCTCTCTCTCTCTCTCTCTCTCTCTGTCTCACCCTCTCTTGCCCCCTTGTTTCCTCACCCAGGTTGCCATACGAGGGTTACTTTGGTGGAATCGTCGCCTTCACAAAGGAGCAATACCTGAAAATAAACGGCTTCTCCAACAGCTATTGGGGCTGGGGCACCGAGGATGACGACACGTACAAAAGGTAAAACATTAAAAATAAAAAGGTCAAAACACACCAGATTCAAGCAATGCCCCTGTACATTGTTCCCACGTGGGAGACCTTCCTCTTCGAGCTGCGCTTGACATCCTGCTCCGTCACTATCAAGCACTCTGGGACGCTACCCTGCATGGGAATTGCTAAATAAATGCAAGTTGTTGTTGTTATTGTACTTGCTGTTTGCAAAACACAACCCATCAGACACCTCTAACCAGGAACATGTCTGCCCTGAACCTCATAGGGTGGTGATGAGCGGGATGAAGGTGGAGAGACCCGAGCGGATCATCGGACGGACTAAGATGATAAAGCACGAGAGAGACAAAGGGAATGAGGTCAATACGAAGAAGTAAGTGAGAGCCCCACTGCGCTGACGCTTAAAGTCTTCCATTTCATATGATCGTAAAACATCAAATTGTTTTGGAAGTGCTTTGCAGGGAATCGCCGAATTTTTATAGGCAAATGCTTTAGCCATTTGTGAGCACAGCAGTGCCCCACCCACGGCTCTGAAGTAAATAACCGCAAACAGCTCTGAAGTAAGATTCTTTTAGATAACGATTGAAAGTCTTCCTCTTCGATCATGCTTACGGTCATCTCCTCCCAGTTCGGTTTCAGGCTCCGCTAGTGTTAAGCGCTCCGAGACTCTGCCCCGCCCTAATATAAATGCAAGTTGTTATCGTTTTATCTGGAGGCTTGTTGGCCAGGACACCGGGAGAAATTGCCCTTCTCTTTTCTAGTAGCGATCGTTGATGTCCACCTGAACAGGTGGTTAAAAGATCTCATTATTTTGAAAGAGAAGGGAGTTTCTCCCAGTGATTTGGCCAACAGATCTCAAGATAAAAAAATGAATGGGGTGATTCACTTTTCAGCTGTTTGTTGGGACTTTGGCTGCTGTGACATTTCACCACACTGACGCAATTTTCCCTGAGGCTCTTTGATGCATTTCGAGTTATTGGGTCTATATTAAACACGAGGACTTTCGTTGAGCAATAAATTCTTTTGATCCCCTTTCAGTTACGACATTTACAATCGGATGAAATTCACAAAGCACCTGGATGGATACCAGTCCCTCAAATACCGTCTGTTAAAGGTCGAGAAGATGCACCTTTACACTAAAGTGACTGTTGACATCGGAAAACCACCTTCCTAAAGGATGTTGGGACGTCACCTGTACCTCTGGCTGGGAAAGACAATCTAAAGAGAGGTGTAAGTGGCTGCTCAGCAGGTCTGACCGAACGCTTGCAAACCAGCCCTGGAGGAGAGAGACTGTGTTGATGTAAAACGACCACCTCCTCCTGTTTCTTCCTTCGTTCTTTGTTCAATCTCAGGGTTGGGGTAGGGTGGCATGATCCTTGACCTCCTTCCCTTGAGCAGAGATGAAGATTTGACGTGAACGGGTGGGGTGGGTGGGGGTTAAGAGGATATCGATTGATGGCCCACATCTCGCCCGCCCACCAAACCCACTCGTCCCCTCACCGCACTGACTATGCACTTCTTCCCTTGGAACTTCTTATCCCTTTAGGACACCCACAGCGTCAGGGAGGACTCGACAGTTTGCTGGCCAGTTGCTATTGGTAATATTTATGCAAAGACGCAACTCTGGGCAGAGAGATCTTTCTAGCCTCCATTGTGTTCAGGGACGGCGTTTTTGCCAGATATCAACCAGTAACCGGGGTGTTGCTTTGCCTCTGGGATTCTCTCAGGTACATAGCTTACATTCATCGATCAAATTGTCTTTTGACAACTACTTCTCGAGTGTCCAAATGGCTTCCAAGCCTTGAAATGTACACATGTAGACGGGTGGTGTTGACTACGCCAGAGCACTGTGTCCCATCATTCCCTCACCATAACCACCATTGCCCTTGGAACTATGCAAAGTGACCTTCTTTGTTACAATCCACCTTCTGCTCCTGCCTTTTGAGACTTTTTTTTGTGTATGTGGCACAGACCTCAGTGGCCCAACAGGCGTACTGCATAAGTGCCTGCAGTGATGCCTGTGGCTCATTGGTGGTATTATTGGCAAAGAAGACTCGCTTGCTTTGACTCCCAACCCCTTTAACTGGGATGAATGAGACTTGGATTTAAAGGGTCCTCTTATTTCATGCGCCTCCCACTCCTCTCCTGAAGACAATCGGAAGATGATCCCCAGGGCAGGCGTCCACCAGGACCTCATTTGAACGCCTCGTGTTCACCCCTGAACAGCAAGGACCAATAGGTTGGTCAACCAAGAAGGTCATCGAAGCCAAACTCAATCCTACAGAACAGGGATCAAACGGGTGGCTCTCTTGCTCTGTGTGAAGTCCATATGGTCTGGACAGTGCCGTTACCATCCAGAAGAACCTGTCCAGTGAAAAGTTGTTTGAAGAGTTTTGGTGGTTTAAGAAGTTCTCTCACCAACTGGTATTGGGATCTGCGGAATAGAGAGACCCCACTTGTAATCGTCTCGAAGCAGCTGTGCCAGTGCAAGCCTTTGCTCCTCCTTCCTGCAGTGCATGGCGACCAAAATTCACTGCCCTCACCATTTGGCTCCATTTTCCTTCTGAGGTACCTCACCCCCAGTGCTTGTCCTTCATGTGGGCAGAGCACCTGATCACCGTGGGTTAGGGACAGGGGAGAGGAGAGAGGGATTGGAACTCATTTATTTATTTTACTTAAAAGAAGCAAGTTTGTATGCGTTTTAAAAATTATTTATGAAAGAAGTTTTATTAAATGGTGCGACGTGATGTTATTAGGGCTGAAAGCACAAAACTAAAGGAGACTTGGTGCGATAGTTAACGCAAAATATGGTGGGTCTACAAGTTGTACAGGCAGATAGTCCCCCTCTCTCGTCGGCTCAGGATTCATTTGCATTGATTGTTATCGCAATGATGACCTGACCCGGGCTTTTGACACTTCCACTGCAGCTGTGAGAGGCTCCTTTATTGCCCCTGAATCATTTATAATCCCACTCCCAGAGCAGTCGCTATGACTCTTATCTCTCCTACTTGCTAAAGGTGGCCACTGGCTTGACTTGTGATGCCTTGATCGTGTCTGAACCTGTCAAGTGGGGTTTTTGGGGGGAAATAAAAGATGGCTCTTGTTTGTCTGTCCTTCCCAGAATGTAGTGTTCAAGGAAAAAGCAATAGCTGCCACCATGGTTGTTGTTTTTATTATTATTACAATAATAGTCAGAATGTTAGAAGCTACGTTTGTTGAGGATGCAGTAGGAATGTTCAGTTAGTTCAATCGGGGAGGGACATCGCAGTTGAGTTCTGACACTTCCTTTGCCTGACTTAAAATGCAAGTTGTTTTATCACACCATTGGGGAGGAAGGAACCAGATAGCGATCAGGAATAGGAACACTGACTGGTATTAGCCCTAAACTCCCCCTCCCTCCACCCCAAACTAGGGGACAATTGTAGTCCTGTTTGCAACCCTGGCTGAGGTCAACTAATTCAGCACAGGCCGGCGATGGAAACTGGCTTTTCAGAAGGCATAGTTTTGTTTAAATCTGCGGTTGCAGTCAGCATAAACCATTACTATATTCCCATTGTTCCCATCACCACAATCCGGTGAATGCAGGAGCTTTACCTCAGGCTTGTATAGAGGAGGGTGGAGGGGTGGCATCTGCTGACCAAGACACTGTGCATACACACTGCTTGCAGTTTCTAGCTCGCAAGCCTGTAATTGCTGCTAATAAATGCAGGCCAATGCCAGAAACTCAATTCAGTTTGAAAGACTGCAGACGCCTCGATGGAGTGAGAGTCAGTCTCCCACAACAATCATCCTGTGAGCAGCGATGCTTGAATCAGCATGAATACAATGATACATCATGAATAATTTGTAATAGCTCCTTTCAGGGCGAGTTGGAAGTACATCTCAAAGCACATCACAGGATAATATTGTAAAGTGGATTAACCGTGTGTTTTGCGGGCGAACTATCTGGGCAATGTACAGTGCTCCCTCTGTACAGCCATCAACCGAACAATCAACCTTTTCATGAAATTGCAATGAATATATGGGAGGGCACTCGGGGCTGTAGGCTCGGTTGCTTTCACCTTAGTGACCTCTCTGCTGACTTAACGTCCCCGGTTTGAAATGAGTGAGCTTGAGGGAGTTTTACAGCACAAAATTGACCTTTTATTCAGCACTGACTTGTCAATCTCACGTAAGAGAAGCCACAGAATGGCTGGGGTGGGGGTGCGGGGTGGGGGGCAAATGGAATACTGTTGGATCAGGGGCATTATTGTCAGAGGGTGAAATGGGACAGTATTCCATCTCCCACAACTGATATTGTTCACCTCGAACGAGTGTAGAACTCACCAAAAAAAAAAAGAAGCAAAACCACAAAGTGCTTTCATAAATATTCTAGTTACTGCGGGTCAGTGCGACGAGATCTTTTCACGAATAGTTTTGGGGTGTGATTTTTTTTTTCTTGTCTTTTCCTTTTGCGTTTGTGAAAGATGTATTCTTGCATATGCCCGAGCAAAAGGTAGCCTTTATTTTCTTGAGAGAAACTAAATTAAATGTATTTTTTTGTTCCGGTTTTCTATTTATTAGATTTATCTGTAGAACTATTTTGAAAGTGAAGCAGAAATAGATTGGGGTGTTTTTCGACTAAGCAAAAATAAATCTACTGGTGAAGAGTTGGACTAAACTAACTTCTGTTTCCTTTTCTTGAATGCTTTCGTCATCCAAAATATCTGCTGTCTTGTTTCCTCTCACCCACTTGGCGTCACAGTCATTATGCCCACAGTTGTGCAGTTTACTAGAAGTCTAGTGGACTGATTTGAAGACCCTCGCTGTGACCTTCAAATAACAACGCTTGCATTTCGTAGCCTCTCCTCCTTCAAGGCCAGTCTCAAAACCTTTCTCTTTGACCGAGCCTTCAGCTCCCCTCTCGACTCTCTTCCCCCTTCTCGCTCCCTCCCATCCCTCCCCTCACCCTGACCATTTCCCCCCTCCTCGCTCCCTCCCTTCCCCTCACCCTGACCATTTTCCCAATGCTCGGGTCATGACCCAACTGTGCAGCGCCTTGGGACGTCCTCCCGACGTGAAAGGCGCTTTATAAATGGAATCTTGTTGTTGTTGTTGTTGTTGTAGTCCTGCCTCTCTACAACTCCAGTACTTCCCTCAGCCGAATTCCCACACCTGCGCCCTCAACGTAATCTTTCGAGATCCCACGCAGATAAACCCCTCGTTCACTTCCACGGGCTTTCGGGAGACATAGCTGTGCGCGAATTGGTCGCCGCACCTGCCGCTGCGCTCTTGGCTTCGAGGCCGTTTTTAAGTCCTGGACCAAATGTATTGACCCCCCAAAAAAATGACCTCCACCCTCCCCCCCCCCACCCCCGCCCTGGGTGGGGGGAGATAAGTGGGGACTCTGTGGACTTGGTGGGGAATGCACAGCAGAGTCCAGATGCTGTACATGACTCCGTCTGCTCACTCGGTTCCCATTAACCCTGTGGTGGGTTAATGCCTATGTCAACAGTTCACGGCAAATTAACTTATATTTGCTGGTTGAAAGCCTACAGTGCAAAGATCCACTAAGCCTTGGTTCTTGCCATAAAACTACTGTGTCGTGCGAAGCGGTCGTTAATTCCATTTGACGTATAATGACAATGATAATAATCCTCGTATTTGATCTGGAGCCTCGTCACGCGACTGTACGCCTTTGGGGGCCAAACGTGGCGGCCAACGGCGCGACAACCGAACAGAAAACAAAACAAATAATAAAATATTTTCCATTGGCTTTAACACTCAACACAAAAAAATAACCCTCAACACAAAAAAATAACCCTCAACACAAAAAAATAACCCTCAACACAAAAAACAGCCTCCAGTAGGGCACTGGCCATGTCCCGCCCTCTCTACTCGGATTGGTTAAGCGATACGTCCATCATTCGACTTGACGCCACGTGATTGGCTGACGGGGTCCATGACAGAGGAGTCAGCGACTGGTCGGCGGAGCTGTCAGTCAGGGACGGGTCAGCCGAAGGCGAGGCCGTCATTGGTCGCTGGCGACTGTCGGTCAAGGGCGGGCCGGGCGAGTGAGAGGCGCTGATTGGTCGGCGGCGCTGTCAGTCAGGGACGGGTCAGCCGAAGACGAGGCTGTCATTGGTCGCTGGCGACTGTCGGTCAAGGGCGGGCCAGGCGATTGAGAGGCGCTGATTGGTCGGCGGCGCTGTCAGTCAGGGACGGGTCAGCCGAAGGCGAGGCTGTCAATGGTCGCTGGCGACTGTCGGTCAAGGGCGGGCCGGGCGATTGAGAGACGCTGATTGGTCGGCGGCGCTGTCGATCAGTCGGGGGGCGGGTGCGGGGAGGGAGCGCCCCGGCGTCGGCGGTGGCCATGGAGGCGGCAGCCCAGGCGATGGAGTCCTACAGGGGCCGGGACAACGCGCTCAGGACGGCGTGTTACGCGTCGCGGCTGTTCGGCGGCCTCCTGGTGGCATCGGACGGGCCGCAGCGGGTGGCGCTGGGCCGGAGGCTGCTGCTGCTGTCGCGGGAGCTCGGCGGCTGCAGGACCGTCCTGCGCCTCTTCGACTCGCTGTCCGTGTACCTGCAGTGCCGCGAGTACGGGCTGGGCGCTCAGGTGAGAGAGCGCCTCCTCCCGCAGCGCCGCCCTGTGGCCGGTCGCGTTCTTGCATCTGAGTCAGACGGTTGTGGGTTCCCCCTCTAATGTTGAGAGCCCATAATAACACATATGTTGTCATATATTATGTACATATGACTTTACGTTATATATATGTGTGTGTGTGTGTGTACGTGACTTTACATTCATATAATATAATAATGATAATTGCACTTGATATCGCGTCATCGCGACGTCTCAAAGCGCTTCACGGAATACACTGTGAGGTGTAGTGACTGTGTGTGTGTGCTGTGGGCGAAACACGGCAGCCAATTGCGCACAAAACGGTTGTGAATTGAGCGACCGCTTCGTTGTTATCTTTTTCAAAGGGATCTAAAACGTTATATCTAATAATGTGTGTGTGTGTATATAAATACAAAAAAAATGCACGTTATAGTGTTGCTATACAGATGTAATTAGAATACCCCCCCCCGACCCCCCCCCCCCACCGCTTTCCGCCCCCTCTGCCCCCCTCCCCATTTGTGACAGCGGCCAACTTAGTCCGGGGGAGTGAGGCTGATTTTAACATCTCTTGTTCTGCCATTTCTGCAGGAAAAAGACAGTATTGTTCGCTGGAGTTCCGTGATCATAAATGCCGCAGACCAGCTCTACTATCCCTGCGAACATTTGGCCTGGGCTGCGGACACCAGCATTATCAGTATCCAGGCAGAGGGCTGGTGGACAGCCACTACATTACTGTGGGGTCTGGCACTGGCCACTGGTGTGGTGCGGTGAGTCCTAAGAATCTAGAACCTGATAAGATGCGTCTCTGCTATCTTACGTCTTGAATCTTTATATTGCTTTCATTTCCCCACTGGAGTCAGTCTTTCTTCTCTCTTTCCCCCTCCCCAACCCCCCCACCACCACCCACCCCACTCCTTCAGTGGAATTAAAGGTTGGGGTGGGAGGGGGGGGGATATCCCATAAAGAAACCCAGCCACAAAACAACAACAAATTATTGCATTTATACACTGTAGCACCTTTCACGTCGGGAGGATGTTCCAAGGTGCTGGACAGTCAAGGGTTTGCACCCGACCTGTGGACTGGAGTCGAGACGGGTGGAGACCAAGGGTGGGTGGGGGGGGGTGGGGTGGGGGGAGAGGATGACCAAAGGTGCAGGCGAAGAAATGACAGGCCTTGAAGGAGGCAAGGGAGGGAGCAAGGCGGAGGGGCTCCAGGATGGAGTTCAGAGCGTGGGTGCAGAAAGGCTAAAGGTCCGACCTCAGATAGACCTCAGACCTCAGTGGAGTGAGCAGGGTGGGGATGTGGAGTGAGCAGTGTAGGGGATGTGGAGTGAACCAGTACCCGTCGAGCGGAGGGAGTGGACAGGTTGGTAGAGTTTTAGGAGGAAACTAAACATGAAACGGAAAAATGTTTTGTTTCCAGACTGGGTGATTTGGTTATTCGAGAAGTGTTTTAGTTCTGTACGTACTACAGTATTTGCTTGGATAGACTTCGGTGGGGGGATCCTTGCCTGTGATTTGAATGGCTGCTTAGCCCTGAGCGACTGGCTGGTGCAGAAATGAAAAGCAAAGGCAAATCTGAATAGCAACGCATCGATGCTGGATGCCTTGGATCCAAAGTTACGAAGGTTGTTTTGTCAATGTGTAGCGGTGGTGTCAGTTGGTCATACTCTGGCCTTTGATCCAGAAGTTGTTTGTTCAAACTCCACATTCCAGCGCAGTCCTTGGGAAAGAGTGCTGCAATAGTGGAGGTGGCTGTTTTTCAGGTTAGATGTTAAAATCGAGGTCCTGTCTACCTGTTCGGGTGTTAAAGATCCCGTAACACTATCGGAAAAGAGAAGGGAATTTCTCCTGAGTTTACTCTCCAAATAAGTTGGTGATTTACTGAAGTATTTGTGTGCGAACATGGGGACGATTAGACGATTTGCAGTACGCAAATTGGCTGCTGCTTTTGCTGTGAATACATCTGCTAATTTATCGGATGGTTTGTGGTTATGCAGTGAATAATAATAATATTAATCCTTGCGTTTGATATAGCACCTCATCGTGTCGTTAAGAAATCCCAAAGCACTTCACGGAATATACTGTAAAGTGACTGTACAGGCAGAGGTGGGTACAAATCTCGTGTTTCAGTGACTGTTTGACATCTCATGTCTTTCTGTGCAGATCCTTCCGAGCCCTACTGCTGCTTCGCAAACGCCTGAGGAAAAGCGAGAATCGGGGTCATGTCCAAGTGGGGTACGGTGACACTACACCCGAAGGGCACTATACAAATGTAATTTGTTGTTGTTGTTGTTATGGTGGGTGTTAACCAGAGGCAGCTGGAGGCCACTCGGCTGAAGTGGTGGTCGGCTGAGCATGTGTGTAAATGGTTTCACTCCTGAAAACAACAACAAACAACAACAAACTACATTTACACAGCGCCTCTCATGTCGGGAGGACGTCCCAAGGCACTGGACAGTCAAGGAATTGCACCTGAGCTAGGGGTTGGGATCAGGAGGGGTGGAAGGCAAGGAGGGTTGGGGTAGGATGGGGTGATCGAAGAAGAGAGTGCTCGAGACTGGTCTTGAAGGAGGCAAGGGAGGGAGCGAGTGAAGGGACTGTGGGATGGAGTTCCAAAGGGTAGGGACAGAGAGGCTGAAGGCCTGACCAGCGATGGTGGGGCGGGGGCCAGGAGGGGAACATGGAACAGGCCGGAGCCTGAAAAGTGTGAAGGTGGAGCACTGTAACGGAGAAAGACTTTGGGGACTTGTTCCCCAAAAAGCGAAGGCCAATGTTGTGCAGTGTGGCGGAGCAGGCGAGAGATTTGGGACGAGGGATATCAGCCGGTGATTAGTGCCGCCCGCAGGTAAATCAAATCTCTCTTGTTTTCAGGGATTCACCAACTTTCAGCAGGAAAGTTTACAAGATGGAGGTGAGAGCAGAGATCCTGAACATCATAAGCAACCTGTCCGACCTGGGAAACGCCATCCATTGGATGCCCGCTGGATTCCTGTGGAGCGGAAAGTTCCCCGATTGGTTGGTTGGGCTGATGGGATCTGTCTCTTCCCTGATTGGTGTTTACCAAATGTCCTGCAAGAAAGACTTACGGAAAGACCTGTGATACAGACGGGTAGGGGCTGGGTGGGTGGGTGGGGAGGTGGAGAAAGAATCTCTTCCCCGTCCAGTATCTGAGGGCTCAACTCGCACAGCACCACACTTATGATAATCAACGACTCCTTGAATCATGATTGTGGGGGGAGTGAGATGCAATGACCGGTTGAATGAAGGTGAATGTAGTCAATGGGAGTAATGCATTCCCCCACACATATCCCACCACTTACATAAACACGTACACCCTTCATACACACCCACACACACACCCTCTCACACAAATACCCCATTGAGGTTCCATTGAACAGTCCCAACGCACAACTGACCCTTGAGCGCGAGACACTGCCATGCGTGGAGGGCGCTATATAAGTGCAATTTGTTGTTGAGACCAATGCTTGCGAGCTCAAGCCTTTGGTCACACTCTTCTGATCGTCCCCATGTTTACACACATTCGTCGTTCGACGATTAGCAAATCCCTCTTTGGCAATCATGGTTCCAAAAGCAATCGGAAACACTAATTGTCTTTTTAAAAAAAAGAGAAGAAAATCCTCGGTTTCAAGTTCCAGATGTTGCCTTTTTATCTCTTTGATTCCAGCCATTGATTTTAAAGCTTCGTAATCTCAGGTTTCCTATTTAAATGCTGAAGTTGATTGGGAGATGAATGGGGAGGGAGAAGCTGACCACCCTGGCCTCCGTTACACTGCACAAGCTTTGAATTTCTTCACCCACAGGACAGGCAGGCCCTGGCTAAACTATTTAGGGTTGGTAGGTGGGGGGAACGGTATTTACAAGCCCACCAATTATCACTTGACTGATGTGCTGTGATGTGACCAGGACAAAATGAACACTCGGCTTTCCTGCCACTGTTCCATCTGCACTGTTCGTAGGTGTTTGACTACGCAGCACACAATCACTACACTTTACAGTAGCTCCTGTTTGCGTCCTGTTCTCATTCTCAGCTGGTTTGCTTGTGCTCCGAAATGCATCGCTGTGCCAATGAAATCCCTTGCGATTGTCAGATGTATTTGCACAGATTAAATAATAATAATAATAATAATATTAAAGAATGAATGTTTAAAAAAACACACACGTCCCATTCATGTTTGGACCAGGCTGTTTGCTCGACGGGTCGGTCTTTCGTGCCAGACTTTGCCGACCGGGAATTCCTGGTGGTGGAACTCGCATAAAATCAGGATTGGGAAAGAGAGGAAATCGTCTCAACTTTTTACGGTGAGTCGGCCAACAAGAGAATGTGCAACAAGATAATATTTAATCAAGAAGACAACCTGAGAAACACACTACTCGTTGAACGTGGACTTGCCTAGGATTTTTAGTCCTCAATGGCCCCTTGACCTGCCATGTGTGCCAATTGAACTACAATTCGTAACCTGCTTCACTAGAGGGCACCATCGGCCAATGATTCACTTGAGTTGAACGATTTGACGTGAAGGTGCGTCAAGGGGAACGTTTGCTTGAGAACTGGCCAGCCCAATATTTACTGGCGGTCTGATTGGCATTGAAGAGGTGCGTTATGCGGTGGTGTGGGGGGGTGGCGGTGGTGGGGGAGGCATAGAATCGTAGAAATTTACAGCATAGAAGGACGCCTTTTACATCAGCACCCTGGGACATCTTTCCGACGTGAAGGGCGCTGTGCAAGTGTCACTTGTTGTTATTTCCGCCCCCATTGTGCCAATCGATCGGCTATCCGTTTAATCTCACTCCTCAGGTGGAGGAGATGTCACTTGCATTGGACGTAACTGAATACAATTGTTTAGCTGTGCGCGATTTGACGTAATCTGTTATTTACACGATGCATTTGGCATTATGAGGGGTTTGATAAGGTTACAGTAAACAGAAACCACTTCCAAGCAGTTGGTCAGTTGGTGAGTCAGTAACCGCAGGGCATACATTTTAAATCATTACCAAAAAACAAAGGGAGTGGTTAATTTGTTTAACATCGGAGTTTATTCAGACACGGCATTATTATTAAGGAATGCCCTCCAATGCTGTCACTCACATCCTTGGCTTCCCATCAAGTTGAAAATATTCTCATTTTTCGCCTTTAAATCCCAGCCCACCCGACCTCTGCAACCACCTTCAACCCTTCCAACCCGGCTGTTCCTTTCACACAACAAGCATCAACCTGCTTCACGTCCCCCACCCTATCCGCCACACCACCACTGGTGAACAGACTATGAACATAGGAAGTGCTCGACAAAAAAAAACCCAAGTCCATCCAGTTCACCTTCCCGGCAATCGCATGCACATGTCATGTCCTTAACTACTCATATACTCACTATACACAAAATATTATTTCCTGAAAGAAAATCTTATCTCATTTGCATTTCGAAGAGTCAACACTTTCTGCTCCCACCGTTTCCCGAGGGAGCCTGCTCCATAGACTTAATAATAATAATAATAATAATAATAATCCTTGCATTTGATATAGCGCTTTTCACGTCGGGAGGACATCCCAAAGAGCTTCACAGAACACTGTAAAGTGAATTGACTATATTTGTGGGCGAACGCGGCAGCCAATTGCGCACAGCAATGTCCCACAAACAGTCATGGATTGAAAATGACCAATTTATTATTGTTTTTGGTTTTGGAGGGATTATTATTAGGCTCTGTGTGGAGTAAGGAAACTTGCCCGAGGTTTCGCCCTCTGCCTGGAATTGAACTCAGGTCTCTCGCTTGCAAAGCGAGTGCTCTAACCACTGAGCTACAGGACTCCACAAATAATAATTTGGCCACTCAATCCACGACTCTTTGCGGGACGCTGCCGCGCGCAATTGGCTGCCGAGCTGCGCCCACAGAACATTGCAGACGATTCGCTCTCACGGTGCATTCTGCGAAGCGCTCTGAGGCGTCGCGAAGACGCGATAAGGTGCTGCATCAGTCGCGAGGGCTATAACCACCGCAGAATACGCGGGGCAGCGCTTAAGGTGGGATCAATAACAGAATCCACGTATTATTTCCCTGCGATTAAAGCCTTTTTTTTTAAATGGGTCGGAGACGGAGAGAGACCCTTGAGATGGACCAAGTTCTCTCGGCTGTGTTTGGCTGTGGGATTGGTTTCCTTCTCTCCCAGTGGGTGGAGAGAGAGAGAGAGAGAGAAAGCCTTGGGGCAATAAATCAACCTCTTTCCCAACAAGTCCAGACGAGCAGAGAAACAGGAGAGATCAGAGAGAAGAGGAGCTGATCAGAAACCAAAGATTGTTTCCCAAACATCCACCCAAAGGGGTTACAAAGTCGTTCGTTTGTTGCAAAAAAAGGAAAAAACAAAATACAGATACTTTCTCTTTCCCTTTGATTTGTTTTTCAACCCTTCGAAATGGTTGGTTTGTGAACATCGTCCAACCTTGTGTGGTGGTGTGTGTCCCTTTCTGTCTGGGGGCTGAAGGAGGTGAGAGAGAGAGAGAGAGAGAGAGGGGGAGAAAGGAAAAAAAAAGGTAAGTTTCGATGGTTTTCACATTTTCACAGCATTTGATTTTTTTTAAAGAAAAAAAGGAAAATCATTGTGCAATTCATAATTACGTGTCAGGTTTTTTTTAACAGCTTAAGACTCTTCTCTCTCTCTCCCTCTCTCTCTCTCTCTCTCTTCCAATTGCTAAAATAATAATTCTTAATTAAAATAGGCTGTTTGCTGTAGGGGTTGGGGGGGGGGTGGTATTTTTTTGTGGGTGGAGGGGATCTCAGTTTAATGCTGTGTGGAAGCTCAGTTTGCATAGGAAAAGTGCTGGGTTTGTGAGCAGGTTTTTTATTTTTTTAAAAAATAATTCTTGAGCCACCACAATGATTTGTAAATCTTGGTGAGTGAGATCCAAGTGCTGGAGTCAGAGTTTCTTCATGCAATTTGCTGCAGGGTTTAGTGTTTTTGTGGAAGCTCAGCTTGAGGCTGGTGAGCTGAACAGTGAAAGGTTTCTGAGCCAACACAGTGATCTGGTTTAATGAGATCCCCAAACTGTTTTAAAGAGCCATTTAAAACCCACTCTTTATTCCCCTTTCTCTCCCTCTCTCCGCTCATCTTCTTTAAATCTGCCCCACAGAATGGAATGGCGGTGCTCTTAAACAACTGGGGTCTAATGTGCGGTATTTCTTAACAGGATTCCTTAACAAAGAAGCCAGTTAGAATCTGCCCTATCCTGGGGAGCGCGAGGAGGTACAGACAGCATTTCCTGCTTTCGCTGGGAGAAAGGCCGGCTGTGCAACATCAAATCCAGTCCTTCCTCTGCCTTTCAGACCATTTTTCTCCTTTGTTGTCTCTCTTTTTTTTTCCGCTCTACTTCACAGTAAAATCCTGTGAAGCGCTTTAGGATGTCCTCTCGACGTGCAAGGCGCTACACCAAAAGCAAGGATTATTGTTATTGTTGATAGTCGATTGGCGAGTCGCTCTCTGGGGGTCATAAATCCCATCCGAAAAGTAAAATGATAATAATTTGGTCACTGAATCCACAACGGTTTGTGGGACGCTGCTGTGCTCAGCTGGCTGCCTCCTTTCACCCACTAAATATACCGCCAATTCACTTTACAGTATATTCTGTGAAGCGCTTTGAGACGCCTCAGTGATGTGATAAGGCGCTCTATTAAATGCAACGATTATTATTAAAATTGGACCTCTGAGATTCACTAAGACACTGACGCTTGCGAGGCCCTGTTGTAGCGTTAAACACCACAAAAAAAACTTTCTTTGGTTTTAATTTTAGAATATTTATCCCATTCTTCTAACATTGAAACACAGAAAGCCTCTGGAGTGCAGTTTGCAATTCCTTGCATTGTTTAAGCTCTTGTCTGAACTTCCTGGGAGTGGGTTTGAATGAGATATTTGAATGGGATGTTTCCTGTGTGTCTTGACAGATGTTTTTCGTTTTAAAGACATTTGTTCCCAAACTTTTGAATGTTGTACCGGCAAATGCTTTTAAATAATATTTATTATTTTTATGGGGAAATCCGGAGCTGATGGCCTGCAGTGGTTGCGATGGAGCAGGGAAACGAAAGAGTCACCAATTTGATGCAGTGGAGAGGGAGAGGGTGCAGGTCAATGGATCTGGAGCTTGGGAGGAATTAAGAGGAACTTTCATAGCCTCTAATAGCCAGGCTGGGAGGACATGTGTCGGTTGAAGCCAGGCAGGCACACAGTGAGAGCTAAGCCACTGTTAGTGATGGACTGCCTCTTCAATTGGCGGTGTCTAGGTCTAAAATAATAATAATCCTTGCATTTGATAAAGCGCCTTATCACGCCATAGAGTCGTCTCAAAGCGCTTCACAGGATAATGCTGTAAAGGGGAGTGACCGTGTATTTTCTGGGCGAAACACGGCAGCCAGTTGTGCACAGCAGCGTCCCACAAACAGCATAAACTCTGGTGCGTGGGGAGCTCCTAACTGCAGTTTAACTATTATCCATTAATCTACAGAACCCGGTTGTGGAGTCCTGTAGCTCAGTGGTTAGAGCACTCGCTTTGCAAGTGAGAGACCTGAGTTCAATTCCAGGCAGAGGGCGAAACCTTGGGCAAGTTTCCTTACTCCACACAGAGCCTAATAATAATCCCTCCAAAAACCAAAAACAATAATAAATTGGTCATTTTCAATCTACGACTGTTTGTGGGACATTGCTGTGCGCAATTGGCTGCCGCGTTCGCCCACAAATATACAGTCAATTCACTTTACAGTGTGTTCTGTGAAGCGCTTTGGGACGTCCTCCCGACGTGAAAAGCGCTATATCAAATGCAAGGATTATTATTATTATTATTAATGGAACAACAGAAGGCAGGTCACATTGCACTTTATAATCTTGTCTATTTGATCATTTCTTACACTGGTCCCCTAGTATAATAATAACCCTTACATTTGAGATGGCGCCTTATCACGTCATCGAGACGTCTCAAAGCGCTTCACAGGATATACTTTAAAGCGAATTGACTGTGCATTTTGTGGCCGAAATTATCGCAGAGAAACTGTTGTTGTGCCCATTGCCTCCAGCCTCCCTCTCGGGCCTGGAACACTTGGTTGGCGTGTAATTATTAACATTGGAAAGCTTTTCTGTGAAGATGGGGGAAACAGGAAGCGGTGTGAGCTGTGGAATGTTCCTGCGTTGACAGACGGCACTTCAGAGGTGCCGACACATGTTGAAAAGGGCCACTTTAATCTTCAAAAGGGTTGATTACTGCCCTGGGAGAAAGACTTAAGGGGCAGCTTTTAAACACCAAGGCAAATTCCTTCGATCCTTTTAAATCATCCCGTCAAAATCTGTGGTGGTACTGCCTTTTATCTGCCAGGCACTGCAGTGGATACATCTCAGTAGAGGTAGCAGCTCAGCTCAAACACGTTCGTTCTCCTCTCTGGGTCATTAAGGTTGTAGGTTCAAGCCCTTTGACTGTACTTGAGCTTGTAGTCTCGGCTGGCGCTTCAGCTTAGTACTCGGGGGAGTCCAGAAAAACCTGGAAACACACTGCCGATCGAACACGGACCAGTGAGAATGTTTTGGGGTCATTTCCTGCCCGCGGGCCACGAGCTAGTCATTACCTCGCAAGACTGTCAGCTCAAAGCCCCATGGGGTGGGGCGGTGGTGGTGGGGGGCTTTAACCTAGCGGTAGGAGTGTGGAATTCTCTCCACGGTTGGTTGTCCAGCCGGCAACTCTGTGTACATGGGTGGCTTTTGATCTATAAATGCAAGGTGTTACTTTTGTTATTACATGCATGAACAGGAGGAGGCCATTCAGCCCCTCGAGCCTGTTCCGCCATGTTGTGAGATCATGGCTGATCTGAACCTCAAGTCCCAATTAATTTTTTGAAACGCTTTTGAAATCAATTAATTAATTTAAATGTATTGTTCTCTCTCTTTTTCTCTCTCTCACTCGTTCTCTCTCTCTCTCTCTCTCTCTGTCTCCCTCTCTTGCAGCCGGTGCGAACGGTGATGTCGGTGACGGTGCACGAGAACCGCAAGTCTCGCTCCAGCTCGGGCTCCATGAACATCCAGCTGTTCCACAAGCCTTCGCACTCGGACAGCCTCCTGACACAGCTCAACCTGCTGCGCAAGAGGCGCCTCTTCACGGACGTGGTGCTGTGGGCGGGCGGCCGGGACTTCCACTGCCACCGGGCAGTGCTGGCCTCCTGCAGCCGCTACTTCGAGGCCATGTTCTCGGGCGGCATGAAGGAGAGCCAGGACAGCAGCGTGGATTTCCACGACTCGTTGCACCCGGAGGTGCTCGAGCTCCTGCTGGACTATGCGTACTCAGCCCGAGTCCTGATCAATGAGGAGAATGCGGAGTCCCTGCTGGAGGCCAGCGACATGCTTCAGTTCCACGACATCCGAGAGGCCTCGGCCGAGTTCCTCGAGAGAAACCTTCACCCCATGAACTGCCTGGGGATGATGCTCCTCTCGGACGCCCACCGCTGTGACCGCCTCTTCGACTTGTCCTGGCAGATGTGCCTGGCCAACTTCGCCGCCCTGGGCCACACCGAGGACTTCCTGCGGTTGCCCAAGGACAAGCTGGCGCAGCTCATGCTGAGCGAGGAACTGCAGGTGGAGGACGAGAGCCTTGTGTACGAGGCCGCCATGGGCTGGGTCAAGTTCGACGCCGACCGCAGACGCGAGCACTTGGCCGAGCTACTGAGCTGCGTGCGGTTGGCCTTACTGCCCGAGAGCTACCTGTGCGACAAGGTGGCCCGCGAGGAGTTGGTGGTCGGACACAAACTGGGCGCCGCCATCGTCCAGGAGGCCGTGCATTGCAAGCTGAGGATCCTCCAGAACGACGGGCTGGTCACTTTGCCATGCGCCAAGCCCCGGCAGGTCAGCCACGACCTGTTCCTGCTGGGCGGCCAGACCTTCGTGTGCGACAAGGTCTACGCGGTCGACCGCAAGACCAAGGCCGTCATCCCCAGGGCTGAGGTCCCCAGCCCCCGCAAGGAGTGCAGCGCCTGTGCCCTCGGCTGCAAGGTGTACGTGACGGGGGGCCGGGGCCCTGAAAACGGGGTCTCCAAGGACGTGTGGGTGTACGACACGCTGCACGATGAGTGGACCCGCGCGGCGCCCATGCTGCTGGCCCGCTACGGGCACGGCTCGGCTGAGCTGGGCCACTGCGTGTACGTAGTCGGGGGCCACACAGCCGTCTCGGTCTCCTTCCCGGCCTCGCCTTCCGTCTCGCTCAAGCAGGTGGAGCATTACGACCCGCAGACCGACAAGTGGTCGCTGGTGGCCCCGGTGCGCGAGGGTGTGAGCAACGCGGCCGTGGTGGGCGCCAAGGGGCGCCTCTTCGTGTTCGGAGGCACCAGCCTGAACCGCGACAAGCCACCTCGGGTGCAGTGCTTCGAGCCGGCAGCCAACCGCTGGACCGTGGCAGCCAACTGCCCGCAGCCCTGGCGCTGCACCTCAGCCGCCGTGGCCGGGGAGCACGTGGTGGTGATCGGAGGCGACACCGAGTTCTCGGCCAGCTCGGCCTACCGCTTCAACTGCGAGACCTACCAGTGGTCGCGCTTCGGGGACGTGGCGGCCCGAAGGGTCAGCTGCCACGCGGTGGCCTCGGGCTGCCGGCTCTACGTGGTGGGGGGCTACTCCGGAGCCCAGCGCTGCAAGACCCTGGACTGTTACGACTCGTCCACCGACACCTGGAGCAACGTGACCACCGTACCTTACTCGCTCATCCCCTCCGCCTTCGTCAGCACCTGGAGGTACCTGGCCACCTAGAGGGAACGTGAGCGTGAACCCCCGAATAGAGGTGGTGGTGGGGGGACACACGCACGTCTGTGGGAGGAAGGATTGAACTCGCCACCGTTCCCGTTGTACTTGGAGGAACTTAAGGACGTGAGAACTTTGCCGAGCGAAGGAAGACCCAGGTCCCATCAGCTCCGCCTGCCACCATCCAGCTCGACATGTGGTTTAAACCTGTTGGATTTTCATAGCTGTGGATTTTCTCTCGACGAGTGCGTCGGTCCATAGAATTTCGTCGTTTCTTGCGCTGGTTTCTTGCTGAACGCACGGCTGGGGCACATTTGGCCCCAGCGTGTATTCCGTTCCGATGGCAAGCGAATTTCAGAGCATAGGTGGAGTTCAGTCCTAGTCTAGTTTAGATACTCTTGAGCCCCTTGTGTTGGGTTTCTGTACGTCTCACATACCTGGCTGAGCCCACCCCCAAAACAAAATACTGTACTGCTCTCTGGTTCTGCTCTCCGCATTTCCAAAGGCTCATGGGCTCCTGGTATTGTACACAGCACTTTATATTCCCGTTTATATTTATTTAGGGCAGTTTAAGGTGTATTATGCGCCGTTTGCAGAGGAAGTACAGGTACCCTTACTGTCGATGAGCGAAGGAATGAAAAGGATTGATGAATTGAGGCCACTGATAACTCGTGTTAGACATCCGTTAGCACATAATACAGTTTACCTCAATAAGAACGTATGGTTAGAATTTTAGGAGGAGAGGCGCCTTAAGCTATTTGACGGTGATTTTGGAGTTCGTGGCACAGTTGGCTGGGTCGTACTGTAACGAGGAGTGAAGTGTTTCAGCCTTGTGTTCAGCAAATAAATGTTTGGTCTTGCAGCTGTTTCTCACCATTGCCTCGGACAGAATCGGTACATTCGGAGCTTGTGTGTTCAACCTTGACTGGACTATTTTTGTGTCGATTAGTGGTGTCGAGGTTTTTATTTTGCTGAGTTCCTTAACGTTGGAATCCGGGCATCCATGGACTCAAACCACGTGAATCGATCAGTTTTCTTCGGTGTGATGGTGGGGTGGGAGTGGGCGGTTTCCCCTCAAGTTAGAGTGAAGTAGTTCCTGTTACAGGATGGAATCACCCCCCACCAACCACTTCTTTTCTTGATTATGAAATCGTGCAAAATTGGCTTGAGTGACATTTTGCCACAGTAAAGTGGGAGGAAACCCACAATATCTTTTTAGTACAATCAGACTAGACTGACCTGTGTTATGTGAGTAGGAAGTTGATTTATTTTTCTCCCCAACACACAAAAAAACGATGCCATTTTTGAGGCAACTATTTGTCAAAAAGTGATGCGTGTTTTTCTCTGTAAATAATTTTCTTCCAAATAATTCGTGGGTTTTTTTTTTTGCTTCCTGGAGCCGACACTTAGCTTTCCTCTCGCTGCCCACCACTAGTTTGCTGAATTTATCCGCAATTTCACTCGTTTTCACGTACATATAAACCCCTAAATTTGTGCAGTTTTTTTTTCTATATTATTCAATTTAATTTATCTCCATTGTACAGATCTCTCGGTGGTGGAGGGGAAGAGAGGGAGGAGAGAGAGAGACAGGTTTAGAAACTAAATGAAGGAGTTTGACTGGAAGTTTATTGTGTTGTCTGTTGGGATTTAGTTTTTGGTGGGAGGTGGGGAAGAGAGAGAGAGAGAGAAGGGCGTCTCATGATATTAACACATCAACTCTCCCTTCCTCGAGACTATTGATAGCTTCTGACTGCATTTTTGCTCAATGTGATAATATTACATGGTGCATTTTTTTCCCCCTTTTCGTCAATGTATGTCCTTACAACAAACTGGATTCTTGAATTGGTTCTATTACACTGAATCATGGAACAGTACCTTCTCTCTCTCTCTCTCTCTCCGTAGCAGCTGCAGAGTGAGTGATACGGTCCTTTCTCATTTTAATTAAGTCTGGTTAATACTCTTTTATTTGTTCTGTGTGACAGCCAATGGCTACAAAAACTTTCAGTAATAAAAAAAAACACCTTGTTTTTTTAAAAAAAAACACACTTCTCATCATTTGTCTCTCTTTTTTTTTAAATTCAAAGTTCAGAGGCCGCAGCAACTTCTAGGGTTCGGGAAAGTCTTGGCGCTGTTGCTTCAGGAGAATGAGACAGTGTGTGCGCGTGTGTGTGTGTGTGGTGAGGTCTTGTCTAGGGAACCTGTCTGTAGGGGGGCGGTGGTGGGGGAAGTTGGATGTGTGCATGTTATGTGTAGGAGAGAAGCTGTCTTTCAATATTAAACAGATGTGCCTTTGTACACAGTAAGGCTGGAGGCGATTTCCTGAGGTTGATCGAGCTCTCTCTTGCTCCCGCTCCCCCCAGCTCGCCTCTCGATCCTTTGTTCCTTCAGTCGCTCGCAGCTTTGTCCTTCCCCGCTTTTGTATCTTGCAGTTTGTTGCTGCAGTTCCCCTATATTCCCCCCTCCCCTCTTGGAGATGCCAGTCTAAAAGACTGAGCTGCCCCCTTGCAGCTGCCATCCATTCCAACTTTAAAACAACAACGAATTGAATCTATATACGGCGCCTTCCGTGTCAGGAGGACATTCCAAGGCACTGGATAATGAGGGGTTTGCACTCGTGCCTTGGACAGAATCCACGTCCAACTCCTCACCTGGTCCGGATAATAACGACGACAACAACTTGCATTTATGTAGCATAAGAACATAAGAGCAGGTGTAGGGCGTTCGGCCCCTCTAGCCTGCCCCGCCATTCAATAAGATCATGGCTGATCTATTCTAACTCCACCTACTCACCTTATCCCCGTATCCCTTAATCCCTTTATCTACAAGAAATCTATCAATCTCAGCGTCCTTCAACTTTTAGATCCTTTCCAAAAGGAATAAGGATGTGAAAGGGGTTGGGAAACGTGAGGCAGATCTCGGCAGGTTCCCAGCATCAGTAGCTGCCACTGGGCTCTTGCAGGTTGAAGTGTGTCTGCGTAGTGACTGACAATGGCTAGTGAGGTCAGTCCACTTCATCTTGCAGCTGCCTGTCACAACTTCTAATGCTCTCCCTGCCTTCAAAAACCTGAAAACAAGGCCTCTTCCAATCTCCCACTTACCTCCAATAGACACAGTCACTGCACTTTCCAGTAAAATCCTGTGAAGCGCTTTGAGATATCTTGATGTAAGGCTCTATATCAAATGCAAAGATTATTTCCCTGCTCAATCGGGTCCCTGAAACATTTTTGGAGAGATTTTTTTTAACACGAAGACATTCTATATTTGTCTACAAAATACACAGTCTCTACACTTTACAGTAAACTCCTGTGAAGTGATTTTTGAGAGCTCTTGAGGATGTGATACGGTGCTAGATTGAAGGCAAGGATTATTTTTTCAATGCTAGTTATTGTTGACTCCTATTAGAGTGATAATGTATAACTAAACCTCATCCCTATAAAGCAACACGAGATGTCAAGCGACTGCCAGGATGGTGGAAGGCGAACTAAATGAGCTTTGGTCTTCTTTCGCCAGCAAATTCTTATGTTCTTATGTACACTGGCTGGGAAATTGTGTATTTAAACGTGTAAACGTGTAGCACACATGCCAGGGGCATGTGAAAGTCTACACCCAATTTACCTGAAAATGCAGGGAGGAGTGAGTAGGACAACCGTAAAACGTCACAGTAGCAAAGGTTAAGTCAAGGTTGGGTTTTAATTGTATAATCGATCAATGTCTTGATTGAAAACAAAGCGTTGGGAATGTGAGGTATGGGGAAGATGTGGGCAATGAGACATCACGGAGCACAGCTCAGTCTCAGTCACACAGTCACACCGAGCCCTAGCCACAGGCTGTAACGTCATACACATCACGGTGCGGGGGGAAGAGATGATAATTATTTTTCTAAATAAAAATTTATTTTCTCAGTAGGTACTTCCCTTTTCCTGGAGCTCATTTCCCACAGACAGGATTCAAATACAAGATGCAAATAAGCTGTATCGCTGTTCTCTTTCCCAGCGCGCGTGTGTGTGTGTATGTCTCTTTCTCCATATGCCCCTCACTCTAATTTCCCTGCTGCAGGAGTTCAATTTAACATTACATCCTACAGTATATCAAATGCAAGGATTATCATTAGTGTTACTATGGCTATTCGTGGGACCTCACTATGAGCAAACCAGACACTCCATTTATCCATGAGATCAACAATTATGCCCATCAGGTTTGGATCCGATCAGCTTAATTCATTTGCGACAAATTATCTGCTGAAGAGTTTCGACGTTTGTAAACGCTGCATTAAATAGAGGGATTTATTTCTGAGAAGTATGAGAGAGAAGGGAGGAACGTACCTGCACAGCCACTCAATCCCCAGGGCAAAGAGTGAACAATAGCCATCTGTCAGCAGCGCCTCAATTACACAAGATAAACCGGTTTGTAAATGCAAGGTCTATAATCACAGCCAGTGACAGCGACAGAGAAATGGGTAGTCAGAATCACGTGGATTGTTACAGCTCAGGAACAGGCCTTTGAGCCCAACCAGGCCATACAGTTTCATTTACTCTCCACCCAAGCTCTAACCTTTCTCATTCCCCTCTCCCAACCCCATCCATTCCCTTCTCCCTCATGTACGCGTCAAGTTTCCTCTTAAATATTCGATCCACGGACGTTTGTGGGACGCTGCTGTGCGCAATTGGCTGCCGCGTTTCGCCCACAAAACACACGGTCAATTCACTTTACAGTATATTCAGTGAAGCGCTTAAAGCCGTCTCAACAACATGATAAGGCGCTGTATCAAATGCAAGGATTATTATTATGAAATACATTTGTGCTTTCTTCTTCAACCACAGTGAGTTCCACATTCTCACCACCACTGGACAAAAGAGGTTCTTCCTAAACTCCCTCATATATCGGATACTAGTTATCTTGATATTCACGCCCCGTGTTTTAGACTCAACGACAAATGGAAACGGTGTATAAAGGACCACCTTAAAAAATCAATCCTCAACATTGATCAGGTGCCTGCTTAGTCACAGGAAATGGACACACAGGGTTGATATCAAGCTCTGGCTACAGTAATGTTTCCTCCCATTAACTGGAGCAAAGGCCTTTTTTTTGTCACCTTTGTCACTTGAATGATTAAGAAGGTGGGGAACTGAGCCAAGTCTAACCCCAGGTCAGGAACCAATGATGGACTCAGCTACTCCGGATTAAAACAGGAGCCAATGGACTTCTTTAGACACCTGGCAACCTGCCTGTAATAATGCTAACAGGCTCAGCCAGTCAATGGTCAGAGGGAGTCAGCAAACCGAAACCAATGAAGCCATTTATTGCTTGCTTTCCAGAAATCATTAACCAAGCAAGGTTGTTCATTTCAAATTAATATTTTATTTCAGATCAGTCATCAGATCAGTAGTGTTGGTATTCTTGCTAGCAAGCAAAATAAATGAGCATCTCGATTGAATGGTTTAAGGAGGGAGGGGGAGGGTTGACTGCAGAGAAGTTAGGATCCTGACCAATGTTGACTCAGATCAGTCGAGGAACTGAAAATGTTCCAGCTTTATTACACCAACTAATAAAATAGTCATTTTGCACTTGATAATTGCTAAAAGATAATTGATCTTGCTCTTAATCTCGCATCGCGTGCAATATTCGAAAGGTCGTGAGGGGAGGAGAGGGCAGGGGAGCCAGGCAGTCGGAACCTGGGAGATAACAGGGCGACATAACAGGAAAACTTTTAACACCGCAAATGGCGGCAAGAGAGTTGTGTTAGAACGAACCTGCGAAAAGGGTCTGGTTGAAATGAGGGCAAACCCATCTCGGTCTGACCCTGCCTACACTCAGGGATACAGAGATGGTGCGCGGAGCAGAGCAGGAAGAGCTTTCATCGAATGGGCAAAACAGTGTTTCAGCACCGGGCAAATATTCTACCCTTCTCCATCCAACCTCACTGCCCAGAATTGTTTAAGTGTTTATGCACAAATTAATCAGAGCGTTTTGAGCTACAACACTTGATATTTGGTGCCCACAGTTCATAGATGAGTCCTGCACGGTATTGGTTAGAGCACTCGCCTTGCAAGCGAGAAGACCTGGGTTCAAAACCTAGGACAAAACCTTAGGCAAGTTTCCTTACTCCACATGCCTTTGCTTACCTCGCAGTGGGACAATGCCATGCACAATTCGCTGCCCCGCGTTTCACCCACAAAATATACAGTCAATTCACTTTACAGCACATCCTGTGAAGCTCTTCGACACGTCTCAATGACACGATAAGGCGCTGTATCAAATGCAAGGATTATTATTATTATAGATGGAGCGAGGGTGGGGGAGGGCAGGGGAAAGGTGGGAGTGGGGTCTCCTGAGGAAGAATGACCTCGAGGAGTAAAAGGGGCGATGAGAATTGATTTCAACACACTGAGGACACAGGGAGAAGAGTTTGCAGGGACTTTGCAAGTATCAGTCAGTCTCGCTCAACTGCATGCACCTCTGAGTCAGAATCCTAAATTTAACAGTGCGCTGAGTGATGAGGGAATATCAAAAGGGATTTTGCTTTTCCTTTGAACCCACCTGATTTGAAGCTGCCAAAAAGGTGCTGTGAATCAGTTATTGCCTGACAGTAGAGAACATTGAATCAATGTATTTTTATTACAGTTGAAAGATTGCATTTGTCAGCATTTGGCTCCAACCAGACTGGCATTCTGGAAACCCGCTTAGTATTGTAACCAGCGATAATGATTGACACTTGTATCTCACCCCTTTCATACTGGGTACATTGCTCAATGCACTTCACAGAGATGGAGGAGAAACCGGAGCAAGGTGGGAAATGGGGAGAGGGAGGGGGGTAAAATGTGCTCCCATTTCCATCCACCCCGCTCCGCCCACTCCCCCAAATCACTCACACCTTCTACACTTATTGGGGTGATGTAATAATAATAATCCTTGCAATTGAATAAAGTCCCTGACTGTCCTGCTCCTCGGGACGTCCTCCCCACGTAAAAGGCGCTTTTTTACAAATGTAATTTGTTGTTGGTATAACAGGACGTCTCAAAGCGCTTCACAGAT